TGGCAAATCTGAGCATTGTAGAAAGGAATATGTGAAGTAAATTTTAAAGAGCTCATTGCATGCAATGTAGTATCCTAGACTGGGTCCTGGAACAGAAGGATATTATCAAAAAAAAAAGGAAAATGTATATAAAGTCCATAGTTTAGTTAATAATATGGTATCAATATTAACTCCTTAGTTTTGACAATTGTGCCATGAGTATGAAGATGTTATTCAGGAAAGATAGGTGAAGGATATATGGAAACTGCATCTTTGCCACTCTTTCATAAACTGTAATTTTTTAAAAGTTAAAGAGCTCAGAATTATATATAAACATATATATTGCTATCATCTACAATAACATTTATTGTATAAAAATTAGGTAGGCTCACTCTGGCCAGGTGGCTCAGTTGTTTGGAGTGTCATCTTGTACACCAAAAGGATAGGGGTTCGATTCCCAGTCAGGGCACATACTTAGATTGCGGGTTTGATCCCTGGTTGGGGTATGAGTGGGAGGCAACTGATCAATGTGTTTCTATCTCCCTTCCTCTTTCTCAAATCAATAAACATATATCCTCAGGTGAGGAGTAAAAAAAATAGGTAGGCTCGTAAAACATTTTTAGAGTTATAAAAATACTTTGCTTTTAGCAGGTGGAGGGAAGGGGGGGGAGAGAGAGAGAGGGAGCGGGGTGGGGGGGGAGAGAGACAGAGACAGAGAGAGAGAGAGGTGTAGGTGGTCATTTTATGTTGCCACTGCTATTTAGAGGCTTCACTGAACTATTACCAAGATGCCCAGACTCAGAGTGGCTGGAGAGGACTCCAAGTATCCACATCCTGATAGTCTAAAAATAGTTTTTATTTTTTTACCATGCAAATCTCATTTAGGGAATAAGGAAGACATTTTCTACAATAATCTTTTCAGTAATCACTCCTCAGGGACTGTATTTAGAATTTCATGGCACATGAAATTAAATATTTTTTCCCCTAAAGGTAAGATACTTTCTGCTTATTGGGGGGTGGGGCCCTCAGTTTCCTCACCCATGGCAGACTGAAAAATGTAAATGTTTATCTAAAGAAGTCGCTTACTTCTACAGAGCTCGAACATTTGGAAAATCCTGGCCTTCTTGGCATTTGTCCCCTCTTTGGTCCCCAGGGCAGCGAAGGGGCGAGGAGAGACTAAAAAGGGGAGATGGGGGCTGGGGGCGGCGCGTCTCCAAACTGGCTTCATTAAAGTCGGTTCTAAACTCACTGGCTTCTTCAAAATGTTTAATAATAATAATAACAATAATTACATTTAGTGCTGTTGGGATTTTGAAATCATTGTAATTCTGAAAGAACATCTTGGCTTTCCTCACAGGGCTTCTCTTGGCCCCATTCCCTGAGAGGAGGCATGACTGGCAACCTGAGGAGAAGCACAGTAAGACACCTCGGCGTCCACAAAGGGACGTCAACAAAGCCATCTGCCTGGGGGTGGCAATGCGTGTGGACCTGCCAACCACCAGCAACGCAGATGATCTCCACTCCAGCCCCGGGCTCCTACTACTGCGGGCCCCACCTTTATCAGGAGACCAGTTGAAATTATACTGTTGGGGGGAAGGGGGAGAGCTTACCTATTTTTTTTACTCCTCACCTGAGGATATATGTTTATTGATTTGAGAGAGAGGAAGGGAGATAGAAACATTGATCAGAAAAAGGTGCATCCATTGCGCCCCTAGAGTCTAGAGTTCACCTCTGCCTCATGTCAGACCCGCAAACTGGTCCCCAATCCTGCACTGACTTACTGGACCTGAGTTTTGCTTGTGCGTTTGTCCTTTATTTCTGACGACTAATGCTATGAAATACCAATAGATAACAATCAAATTTCTCTTTATAAACATCTGGAATTCGTTGGGGACACCGATCACATTATTGCCTACATAAAGCTACAAGTGAGACGTTCCTCTAGACCAGTGATTTTCAAACCGGCGGGCCGTAAGATTTTTAAAACAAGCATCACCTGACTCTTTAGTCAGAGGCACTGACCTCTTCGACTGTCCGATAAAAAAATGGCAACAGCCAACATAAGAATAGCTGTCCAGTGTGAATGAATCAAAATTATACCTAATTTTCTTGTCAGATTGGCAAAAAATATAATTTTCTGGTGTGTCGCATATTTTTAGTAATTAGTTTATGTGTGCCGTGAGATGAAAACAGTCAAAAAGACTGTCCCTGCTCTAGACAGTCTTGTGAGTATGGGATCTGGGGCCAAACGGCCCGGATTCAAACCCTGACTCTACTGCTTATCAGCTGTTGGACTTTCTATGCCTCGGTTTCCTCATCTGCAATATGGAGACAGTGATGCTTGGCCCACTACATTTGTATGAGGCTGAGACTCAATAGAAACAAAGACTTTAGAATCGTGCCTGGCAAAAAGTTAGCACTCAATAAATATTCATGACTACAATTATTTTATAAGGAGGCACTAGAAAAACCATTACATTCTATGAGGAACTGGGGTGCTCTACCTAACACACAGTGTGATTCATACAAAGTAGGGTTTGGAAACCCTTTTCCCCTCCCAGTACACTTGGGGTCCTCAACAGTGACAGTGACTTTCTACAGCATGGGGACCTTCAGACCTAGGGTGGTGGGGTAGTTAGAAGCAGGTGTTCTTTGCAGAAGTCCCTTCAAGATTCTGAGGTGCCCTTTCAGAGATTCAGGTCATTCACCCTTCAATGCAAACATCTTCCGTGCCATTTCCAGAAAGTGTTCGCCTAAGTCTTCTCACAACATTTATGGAACAAAATAGCATATACAATAAATAATACAATTCATGTACTTGTTTGTTCAGAACCAAGCACAACTTCAGTAACTTACGACAAAGCTACACCTCCTTGTCAACAGGAACAAATTCACAACAGGTGTGGGAACAGGCTGCTGGCCATAGGAAGGTGGCTGATAAAGAATTCGATAAGCCAGCCCTGCCTGGTGTGACTTAGTGGATTGAAGGCCGACCTACCAACCAAAGGTCACCAGTTTGATTCCCAGTCAGGGTACATGCCTGTGTTGCAGGCCAGGTCCCCCAGTAGAGAAACTTTGATGTTTCTCTCCCTTTCTTTCTCCCTCCCATCCCCTCCCTAAAAATAAATAAATAAAATCTTTAAAACAATACAAAAAAAATTCGGTAAGCCATACCATTGGAGGGAAAAAGAAAGCACCGACTTCAGTGGTGCTTCAACCAGGCCTCCATTCCTGGTACCGATTCCATCCATTCCCTTTCTGCCCTCTCTTATCAGCTTCACGTGGACAAGACATCACTGTCCCAGCCCTTAAGAGTGAGACAGATTCTGTTGCCACTCAGCCCTCCTCGCCAGCCTGTGCGGATGGCCCTTGTAAAACACCTGGTAGCAAAGCAAATTATTCACATCCTACCTTCCTATTCTACTGCATCCCTTCCATGCCATAAAATGTATCTGTAAAGTCCAGCAGGCTAGCCTCAGGCCAAGGCCTGTTCAGAACACCCGCTGGCCCTTGCGCAGCCTCCATGCAATCAGGCTGTGCTTGGAATAAAACCACGTGGGCTAGGAGCCACAGAAATTTCAACCACGAGCCTGTGTCTTACAGAACAGAAGGCAATTCGGCAGTTTCTGGCAAAAGCGTCACGGTTTTGAACCTGCAAGGTGTAGCTACTACTAAGGGAAACTACTTGCTGTTTTATTCATAGACACTGGTCTTTGAGATTTAGGAAAAATATCTAGAACAAGCTTCCTGATTCGCAAATAAAAATGAAATACGCAAAACAAAAAGGCAGGGCCCCTAGTTCAAAAGAGCAGGAAATAAATGCTATAAAAGTATTAAAACATGAAACTTTCCTTCTGGTTATTTAATGTCACGTGCCCCTGGGCACGGGGATCCCTGTAGGGCGAGTGCAGAGCGTCGTCGGTGCCCGGGGCCCCGCCTACCCCACAGGCCATCATCCCCTGGGCTCTCCCTCCCACCAGCTGCTGGACAGATGCACAGTGCCCTGGCCGGAGCCGGGAATCCCCCTTTCCCATGGACTCACCCACCCCTACCCCCAACCCAGAGCAGACAGGTGTCCCTCAAGTATATTGCAACATCTGTGCCAGAACACAGTAGGTACCTAGACTGAGAGCAGGCAGGCTTCGTCCTGCTGAGTCACCCACAACGCACCCCAGGTGCTGCCATCCTGGGCCAGACAGGCCTCTTTGACCCTCCCGAGACGCCACGGAGCGGTGTGCCCAACAGTGACTCTCCCCATGCCCATGCCTGGGTCCCTACAGGGGTGGAAGGCAACAGAGGTTGCTGGGTGGGGACAGGGGTAGGAAGGTGGCAGGACCGCACAGAAGCTAGGTCTCCACCCCTGGGGCATGTTCCAATGCCCCACTGGGCTTCACTTAATAACACACAAAGTCAAAGACAAAATTATTAAGAATTTCAAGATGGCGACTGCATTGCATTAAACACCAGGCCTAGGGCTCTGATTCTCAGCACAGGGTCCTGTGTGATGACATGACCCTATGCCCATAATGCTGCCCTGCTGGTACCCCACCAGAAGTCCAAAGGCAAAAGTTCACTCCCACTTTCCATCATAAAACATGCCTGTGTTTATGACAGGAATGGCAAAGAGGTTTCCCCTTGCCTGGGTGTGAGGCCGCCCTGGAGGAGGCGGGCATGAGGGGTCTCATTCTGCCTGTTCAGCTCTGCAAGGCAGAACCTGGTTTACCCTGAAAGGCTTCTGCAGCCCATCCTGTCAGACAATAATTTTAACTTCTTAACATTGTGCAAAGAACTGAGGTACTGAGATCCAGGCAGAGTCACGATGACTACAGAAGTCCTCCCAAAGCTAACTTGGTCTGGGGATTTACTTTAAGTGTTGGGGAGATTAGAAAAGAGAGTGGATTGAGCGATAATTACTTAATAAGTGGCTCTGGGGTGATGGTTTGTAAAACTGGGCCATTATCCAGAGTCATTACTTTGATGCAAGTCTATAATCAAGTTGCTGAAAGCACGTTTTTACAGACCTTGGCTTCTGGGTCACTGTTGATACTACAGGAATCATCATCATCAGCGTGTGGGGCATTTCTATAAAGTAAAACAGAAAGTGGCATTTAGAATTTTATTGCAAACACTGGTGGCAAGAAACCATATACCTCACGGCTGGTCCTTCCAGCGCCCTACCTGAGTTTCAAAGATGCATAGCGTAGTGTTGCTCCTTCAAACTCCTTTAGGCTGGGGTCTGGGTTAACTGTGGCTGCATGCAAATCCTGGAGGAAAACAGATGTCTGTTAGTGGAGAATGGGAGAGGACCCACGCCATGGCTTCAAATATCGCGAGGGAGAAGAGTCCTCCCGGCCTGAGGCAGAGTGCACAGGAGCTTAGGCGGAAGAAGGCATGCAATGTGCTGCTCACAAGACAACAGGCAACCTGGGGCACTCAGCTTGAAGTCATTCACAACAGGAGACGCCAAAAAGAAGGCCACATGTGTGTAAGCTGGACATCCCTAGCAAGAAGCCCCATGACTCCATCCCTGCAGAACATGTGATATTCACAAAGAAAAAGGTACAGCCACAGCCATGCAAAAAGAACAAAATATTAAACGATCTAAAAGCTGACAATATACTTGCCTTCCAAATGTCACTATTAATCTTTCCCCCATTCAGAACAGCAAAATCACTCCATGGCTGTTTCTAGACATATAGTTATTCACACAGGAAAAAAGCACATTGATTTAAGGGGGAAAAGAGAGAGAGAGAGAAAGGAAAAGGGAAAAAAAAAACAAAAAAAACAAGACAGTGTTGTTAGCATTGATATTCACAGGATGGGTTAGGGAACAAATTTACTCTAACAGCAACTTGTTAGCTCACTTTGTCCAAATCTATATTATTACCTAAAGACTAGGCAGGAGGAAAGAGTTGGCAATTTATTTACTAAAACAAAGGACTAAACATTATTAGCAGACAGAGGAATTATTTTCTAAACGCAGTCTTACAAGCAAACAGGATGCTTCCAAATATTAAATTTTCTACTTTAGGTGTGCTAGGCACACCTTATTCCTCCTAATTCCATAGGAACCTTTTTCTCTCCCATTAACCAAACAGAACTGTTTTCTTGAGGTAGGGGTGGAACTAGGAATGACACTTATTGATGTGCTGGTTTGGAACTGAGGAATGGCCATGGCTAAGTGCATAAAAAGCAGAGGGGTCAAATTATTATCATTTAAAAGAAAAAAAAAAAAGGACAATGAAGAAGAAAGAGAGTAAGGAACACAGCCTGACATCATCTTGCTGAGTTTTAACCAAACCCAAAATAGCCCTGAACAAGCTAACATACGTTCCTCTAGTTCATAAAAAGCTCTACTTCTGATACACAGCCTCTTCACAAATTAATATTTGATCACGATATTTGATCACTAACATAATTATAGAACAAAGCATGATGTCTTGCCTTGTTGGTAGAACTCTTACATCTTTCAGTCTAAACAACTTCCATTCATCTTGGACAAGAAGGACATATTTTAAATTTTCCACTAGCTTGAGTCAATATTCAAATATTTTTCATCTAAGACTTGGGGAAATAATGCTAATAAGAGCCAGGACATCCTTATAAATTTGTTGCACTGACATAGTGGGCGAATCTCTTTTCTCAGGTAATAAATCACCAAAGGAAACTTTTCAACTAAAAGTTCTTTGAAAATAAGGGGGAACATGATGCATAACTTTTCCTCACAACATTAATACAATTTTTCCACTTTTTATTTTTATTGTATTTTTTCCATTACAATTTATCCCCCTTTTACCCTCCACCCCTGCATTCACCACATTGTTGTCTACATCACTGAGTCCTTTTTCCTTTTTGCTCAATCCCTCTACCCCCACCCCTACCCATAGCTGTCAGCCTGCTCTCTAGCTATGAGTCTGTTACTATTTTGCTCTTAGTTCAGTTTGTTCATTAGAATGCACATATTAGTGAAATCATATGGTATTTGTCCTTCTCTGACAGGCTTATTTCACTTAGCACAATGTCTTCCGGGCCCGCCCATGCTGTTGCAAAGGGTATAATTTTCTTCTTCTTATGGCCAAGTAGTATACCATTGTGCAAATATCCAATAGATGTTTTATCCACTCATCTACTGATGGACACTTGGGCTGCTTCCCTGTCTTGGTGATTGTAAGAACGCTGCAATGAACATAGGGGTGCTTATATTCCTTCACATTAGTGTTTCGGGTTCCTTGGGATATATCCACAGAAGTGGGATCGCTGGGTCAAAAGGCAGATCCATTTTTAATGTTTTGAGGTATCTCCACACTGCTTTCCACAGTGGCTGTACCAGTCTGCAATCCCACCAACAATGCAAAAACGGTTCCTCTTTCTCCACATCCTTGCCAGCACTTATTTTTTGTTGATTTATTGCCAATAACCATTCTGACTGGTGTGAAGTGATATCTCATTGTGGTTTTAATTGCATTTCTTTGATGATCAGTGGCATTCAGCATCTTTTCATGTCTGTTGGCCATCTGTATGTCCTCTTTGGAGAAGTGTCTATTCAGGTCCTTTGCCCAATTTTTAATTGGATTGTTTGGGTTTTTTTAGTGTTGGGTTTTATAAGTTCTTTATAAATTTTAGATATTAACCTTTTATCAGATGTATCAGTGAATATGTTCTCCCATTCCTTGGGCTGTCTTTTTATCTTGATGGTTTCCTTTGCTGTACAAAAACATTTTAGTTTGATGTAGTCATATTTGTATATTTTTTCTTTTGTTTCCCTTGCCTCAGGAGATATATCGAATAAAATATTGCCACAAGCAATGTCCTAGATTTTACTGCTTATGTTTTCTTCTAGGATTTTTATGGTTTTGGGTCTAACATGTAAGTCTTTGATCCATTTTGAATTTATTCTTTTGTACGGTGTAAGGAGGTGGTCTAGTTTCATTTTTCTGCACATATCTGTCCAATTTTCCCAACACCATTTACTGAATAAACCATCTTTAGCCCATTGTATGTGATTGCTTCCTTTGTCAAATATTAATTTACTCTAAAGGTATAGGTTTATTGCTGGGCTCTCTCTTCTGTTCCATTGATCTATGTGTCTTTTTTTTATGCCAGTATCATGCTGTTTTGATTACTATAGCCTTATAGTATAGTTTGATATTAGGTAGCATGATTCCTCCAACTTTGTTCTTCTTTCTCAGGACACTGTTGGTATGTGGGGCCTTTTGTGATTCCATATAAATTTTTGAAATATTTGCTTTAGTTCTGTAAAATACACCACTGGAGTCTTGATAGGAATTGCACTGAATCTATAGATCGCTTTGAGTAGCATGGACATTTTATTGATGTTATTTCTTCCTATCCATGAATACAGTGTGTGCTTCCACTTATTTGTATCTTCTTCAATTTTTTTCTTCAGTGTCTTATAATTTTCCAAGTATAAGTCTATTATATCCTCAGTTAGATTTATTTCTAGGTATTTTATTCTTTTTGAAGCAATTGTAAATGGGATTTTTAAAAAAATTTCCCTTACTGTTAGTTTGTTATTGGCATATAAAAATGCAACATATTTCTGAATATTAATTTTGTATCCTGCAACTTTGCTGAATTCAATGATCAGTCCTAGTAGTCTCTTCGTGGAATATTTGGGATTCTGCATGTACAGTATCATGTCATCTGAAATAAAGACAGTTTTACTTCTTCCTTTCCAATTTGGATGCTTTTTATTTCTTCTTCTTGTCTCATTGCTGTGGCTAGAACTTCCAGTACTATGTTGAATAAGAGAGGTGAAAATGGACATCCCTGTCTTTTTCCCAATCTTAACGGGAACACTTGTATTTTTTGGCTGTTGAGTATGATGCTGGCAATAGTTTTGTCATATATGGCCTTTATTATTTTAGGTCATGTTCTCTCTATTCCCACTTTGCTGAAAGTTTTTATCATAAATAGATGTTGGATTTTTATCAATTGCTTTTTCTGCATCTATTGATACAATCATATGGTTTTTATCCTTCACTTTGTTTATGTGGTAAATCACATTTATTGATTTCTGAATGTTGTACAACCCTGCTGTCCCAGAATAAATCCCACTTGATCAGGGTGTATGATCTTTTTGATTCATTGCTGTATTCAATTTGCTAATATTTTGAGGATTTTAGCCTACATGTTCATTAGGGATATTGGCCTATAATTTTCTTTTTTTTTTTGGTAGTGTCTTTATCTGGTTTTGGAATTAGGAAAATGCTAGCATTGTAAAATGAGCTCGGGAGCCTTCGTCCTCTTGATTTTTTAAAAATAATTTGAGTAGGAGAGGTGTTAGTTCTTCTCAGGATGTTGTAAAATTCACATGTGAAGCCATCCAGTCCAGGGCTTTTGTTTGTTGGGAGTTTTCTGATTACTGCTTCAATTGTAATAGGTATAATCTGTCTATTCAGATTCTCTGATAATTTCTGATTTTGTTTTGGAAGACTGCATGTTTCTAGAAATTTATCCATCTTGTCCAGGTTGTCCAGTTTGATGGTATATAGTTGTTCAAAATATTTTCTTACAATCCCTGTACTTCTTTGGTGTCAGTTGTTATTTCTCCTCTTTCAGTTCTGATTTTATTTATTTGGGTCTTCTCTCTTTTTTTCTTGATAAGTCTGGTTAAAGGTTTGTCAATCTTGTTTATCTTTTCAAAGAACCAGCTCTTAGATTCATTGATCTTTTGTATTTTTTTTATTCTATTTATTTCTGCTCCAATCTTTATTATTTCCTTCTTTCTACTCACTTTGGGCTTTGTTGTTCTTTTTCAAGTTCCTTTAAGTGTAAAGTTAGATTGTTTATTTGAGCTTTTTCTTTCTTGAGATAGGCCTGTAATGCTATGGACTTCCCTCTTAGGATTGCTTTCCCTGTGTTCCACAGATTTTGGATTGTTGTATTCTCATATTCATTTATTTCAGGGTATTGTTTGATTTCTTCCTTGATCTCATTGTTGATCCATTCATTGTTTAATAACATGTTTTGTAGCTTCTATGTCTTTGTGTGTTTTTCAGTGTTCTTCTTGTGATTGATTTCTAGTTTCATCACATTGTGGTCACAGAAGATGCTTGACATGATACCAATTTTCTTAAATTTATCGAGACTTGTTTTGTGTCCTAACACGTTGTCTATCCTAGAAAATGTTCCATGTGTACTTGAAAAGTATGTATATTCTACTGCTTTAGGGTGAAATACTCTAAAGACATCAATGAAATCCATTTGATCTGGTGTGTCATTTAAGGCCACTGTCTTCATGTTGATTTTCTGTCGGAAGATTTATCAATGGCAGCCAATGGGGTTTTAAAATCCCCGACTATGACTGTATTTCTGTTGATCTCTCCCTTTATATCCATCAAGATTTGCTTCACATATTTAGGTGTTCCTATGTTGGGTGCATAAATGTTTGCAAGGGTTATATCCTCCTCTTGAATTGTTCCTTTATCATTATGTAGTGTCCTTTTTTTGTCTCTTACTATAGCCTTGGTTTTAAAGTCTATTTTGTTGGATGTAAGTATGGCTACCTCAGCTTTTTTATCCTTCCCATTTGCATGAAATATCTTTTACCATCCTTTTACTTTTAGTCTGTGTGGTTCTTTCAATCTGAGGGGTGTCTCTTGGAGACAGCCTATATATGGGCCTTGTTTTCTTATCCATTTAGCTACCCTACGTCTTTTGGTTG